ATATTGTAACAAATTCAATAAAGACTTTAAAAATGGTCCACTTCAAAAAAAAATCTTAAAAAAATAAAATATTTTAAAGCAAATGCTAGACCAAAGTCATTTCATCCCCACTTACTTCAGTAAGGATCTCATAAAGGATTAGTGTTCTTATAAAGGAGAGCCCACTGAGCTCCCTAGCCCCTTCTACTATGTGAGGACACAGCCAAGAAGGGTCAGCCATGAACCAGGAAGAGGGTCCTCACCAGAACACAACCCATGCTGGTACCTTGATCTTGGACTTCTAAGCCTCCAGGAATGTGAGAAATAAAATTCTGTTGTTTATATGCCATTTGACTTGTGGTATTTTGTTATAATAGTCCAAACAGACTAAGCTAACCTGTTAAGAAATATAGGCTGGACAGATGGATGATGAGCGGTTTAAATCAAAGGGTAATACTTCAAGACCTACATGAGCTTTGATGGAACTCTAATGTGACACTGAAGGACCATTCGCCAAAATGGGTAACCAGTCGTGACAAGTGGCTGCTCCCCCAAAAGATTATATAAGTGAGAATGTTACAAACACACCTTCCCACCACCATCACCAACCACCAAGCATAAAAAGGGAGGAAAATGTCAGACTGGAAAGATGATGGACACTTGGCTGGGACAAATCTTGACTCCACCATTTCCTAGTTGTGAAGCTAATAAATTTCATTTATTCCATTATTTCATTTTTTACGTGGAATAAATTTCATTCCACGTACAAAAATGGGGATAATAGTGTCTACTATGTACAGTTGTTATAAGGATTAAATTAAATGATGTATGTAAGGTCCCTAGCACAGTGGTTGTCATGTACTGGGCTCAAAATATTGTAATTTAGATTTTGAATTTTATTTTTTTAATATTTTTATACAGCAGGTAAGATATTATAATTTTTATTACATGGTAATATTCATTATCATTGGGACTTCCCTGGTGGTCCAGTGGTTAAGACTCCATGATTCCAGTGCAGGGGGAGTGAATTTGATCTCTGGTCGGGGGAACTAAGATCCCGCATGCCACGCAGCACGACCAAAAAAAAAAAAAATTCATTATCATTAAGAAATCTTGGAGGGAACCTGGGAAGTTATGGTTTCCTTGTGAAATAGGCAGCCTAGACACTTAAAATTAACTTCAGAGAAGAATGGCAAGAAGGGTAAAACTTGACAAATTTAGTTAATTTTTAAGGAGTAAATAGCATGTGATAAAAGGGAATTGCATAATATCATCCACTTTGAGACCTTAAGAAAACCTTTGACAGGTTTCCAAAGGAGAGGCTGAAATAAAAGTCGCATGAGATTGGAATGTTTTGTGAGGCAATAAAGAACTAGCTCAGCAGCAAAAACAATGGGGGGGGGGCGCTGTTGATTCCAGTAGGGGGAGGGAACTTGAGGGTCCAAGTGGCAGCTCCTGGAAAGGCAGCAGATGTGTGAAGGGTGTGGTAGTCACATTTCTAATTCTGGACTTCTCAGAGGAAACGCCTCTTCAGGAAGGTGGAGTCCTGTGCGCTTGAGGAATCTGGGCAAGAGGTAGTTAGGCGCCAGGCAACCATGGAGTTGACATCCATGAGAGGAAGTGGGGAAGGGGACTAACATTAATCTCACCATAACTGGGGCAGGCCATATGCCAGGCACATTATCTCTTTAAGTCACCACAACCTGATGATAATAGTTATTACCTCCATTTTACAGAGGAGGAAACTGAGGCTCAAAGAGATCTTGTAATTCATGCCAGTTCGCTCTGCTGGTGAGGGGGGGCGGGGGCTGTCATAGACAACAACGCCCCAGCCAATAGGCTGAGGTCTACTGGGGTTCTGGCGCCTCTGTTCAACAAATGCTTGTTGAACACCTACTATGTGCCAGGCAGAGGGCCAGATGCAGGAGATACAGTAGTGAGCAAAAACAGACAGCCCCCCTCTCATAGAGCAGAGTCTAACAAGGGAGTCGGAGGCAGCTCTTAGTCAAGTAATGCCACTAATGAAAATAAAAGTACAAAGTGAGGCATTAGCTCATGTAACAGATGGACTCCTCTAGACCTGGGGTGCCATGGGGGAGAGTGGCCCCAGAGTCTACCTAGAATTGATTAGGAAAAGGAGCGGTGAAGAAAAGCATTCCAAATAAGGCAGCTGCACTTACAAGGGCTGTGGTCAAAGCCTCAAACAACACAAGTTCAGTGCAGATTCCATTTACAGAGTGACTCAACTGGGGGTGAGACAACGGTGGAGACACAGTCAGATTTCCATTCTGAAAAGTTCAATGCATTTTCACAAGAGTCACTGGGAGGCTTGGGCAGCCACAAGCAGAGCACTCTGGTGGGTTCTGGGACCCCAGCTGCACCCCACCTATATGAGGACTGTTAGGCTGCCTTAATAGAATGTTGGGAAGCAGGGATTGATGGACCCAAGTAAACAGCCTGAATCCTCCAGCACATGTGTTAGGAAGGGGCTCACTGATAACGTGTATGTGATCAAGTGGAGGGAGTATGCAGTAAAATCCCTAACAACACTTCTAACTAGCGATTGGTCTAGATCAGGGTCAGCAAACTACAGTCCAAGAGCCAAATCGAGCCAGCATCTATTTCTGTGCAGCCCACAAGCTAAGAATGGTTTTTAAATGGTTGGGAAAAATCAAAAGAAGACTAATACTTTGTGACGCATGAAAATTATACGAAATTCACATTTCAGTGTCCATAAATAAAGTTTTATGGGAACACAGCCCTGCTCATTCGTTTACTATCCTCCATGGCTGCTTTCACGACACAGCGGCAGAGCTGTGCCACCGACACTGGGGTATTGCTGCAAAGCTAAACTTATTTATTATCTGGCCCTTTACAGAATAAGTTTTCCAGTCCTTGGGCTAGTCAGAAGCGCCTATAAATATGAGCATGTGTTCAGACAAATGACAAATGAGCTTTAGTAGGAACAAGTGCAAAGTAATGTACTTTGGGATAAAAATACCCAAACTATTTATAAAATGAAGACAGGGCTCTGAGCTGTGAGGTCACAACTCAGAACTAAGCACAATGGCAAGGACTGAAGGCAGCTAGGGTAATATTGTGTGAATTTCCTGCCCCAGACTATAAGAATCAGTACACAATGGATGGAGTTGGTTATCTGACGACTTCCTGGATGGGGGCCCGGGGAATGATCTCAGTAAAACTAAACTAAAATTCAACTGAGAAGAAAGCCTATATTATTTTGCACTTTCACTTAACTGTTACATTTAGATATAGATATCAACAGTCTGCACGTAATCTCGGGAAAAATTAGTGATAAAGATTTACAATGTGTGGTGTGTATACAGGACTACTGCGGGATGGGTTATCAGCTAGACTTTGTCTTGTTCAACTTTATAGTTTAATTACTGGCATATGATAAGCATTCAAATAATATTTATTGAATAAGAGGAAAGAAGAAAAGGAAGAAGAGAAGGAGGGAGGGAGGGAGGGAGGGAGAGAAAGGAGGGAAAGAAGGAGGAAACTGGGCAAAACCTACAGGGTTTGAAGGCTGAACAGGAGTTAGCCAGCCACCGAGGATGAGGAAGAACAGCCCAGCAGGAAAACAGGAGCATTTAAGAGGCCAGAAGAGCCCAAGAGGCCTGGAAATAATATCACATAAAAGCCCCTGTCACCTTTGCTCTAGCTCTAAGGTAACTTGATTTCCCATATCACTGGTCCTGTGAAGGGGGCATCCAGGGCAACAGGAGAGGTGTATCCTTCAGGATAATTAAGTCATCAGCCACACGGTAATTTCCTCAGTCTCTCTGAGCAGTAGGGCGTACACCGATTTCTTCAGCCTGATCCTTAGGGGTAGTTTCCACAGCTGCAAAGCTTACCGAACTGACCTGGGACCTTGGAGGCTCTAACAGGGTCACTGGGGGCGCTACCTGGTGTGGCTGGCCTCCCTCTTGGACACCTCTGATCTCTTCCATTTCAATGTAACAGGAGTCACATCCACAGAGTTCCCTGAGAACACCCAGCCCAGTGTGCTGCGGGCCCAAAGGAATAAGGTGTCTTTCTCAAGTAAGATACTCTCCTGGCCCAGCAAAGACACAGCCAGCATTCAGGAATTTAAATATTCAGGGTTCCGGAATCTGTTCTCGCTGAGAGGTAAACTCATCCCGGTAAACCGAAAGCCCCATGCCCGGGGAATCCCCCCTGTCCCAAGCAAACCAGGACAGTTGGGCACTTGCCAGACGGGTTCCTCATTTACAATGGGTCTATTGGGGAGGGGGAAATTTCCCTCTCTATCCCTCTTGAATTCGTGTGGTTGGATTAATAATAAAATTAACAGAGAAAAAGGAACAAATTTTAATTCACGCCCATGGAGGACCCATAGAAATGAGACCTAAGAAGTAGCCAAAGCAGGCAGCTTTTATACTTTTTAGACAAACAAATTTGTAAGGAATTGACAGGACAAAGACACTTAGGTTCTGGGGGTCAGAGTGGAAAGATCTGACACCCAGTTAGTGAAGAATCAAAACAGAGTTTGGGCTTAGGGTAGTAAGCTAAAGAAGTAGTAAGATTTGTTTATATAGTCTTCTCAGCCCAAATTCCCTACCTTTGGCGATAAAGGTGTCCTATCTCCAGACACAGGGAGTGCCCCTTTCACATGAGAGATTTATTTTCTGCTTTCAGGAAGACAGAAGATTCAGAGTGTCCCTTCTTCTATTGGCCATAAATTTAATTCAAAATAAATAATATGCCACTGAGGTGCACTTTGGTCTACCCAACAGGCCTCTTTTTTTTTTTTGGCCTCGCCATGTGGCACATGGGATATTAGTTCCCCGACCAGGGATGGAAGACGTGCCCCCTGCATTGGGAGCTCGGAGTTTTAACCACTGGACCGCCAGGGAAGCCCCCCAACAGGCCTCTTGTCCTACTGTTCCCCAGACCTCATGGGGGCCTATTCCAGAGAATCTGCTGCCTCCAGCCCGTCAACCAGAATGTGCAGAGTGGCTCCTTCTGGGTCAGGGGAAGGGACTGCATGGGCCAGGTGGGTCACTGGGGACAAAGGAGACCAAGAAACTGAGTTAAAGGGGTTCCCAAGGAACCTCAACTGTTGGAGAATTGGATCTAGGACTCCTGTCTTTTATCTGGTGTCTGTGTTTCTGTGTAAACAATGAGGATCGAACAGTACCCGGTATCAGGGAAAATTTTCAACATTTGCAATGTTTGAAGATAGGGAGGAACTACTATAAGGGAAGGCTGCCTGAAACCCTATTTGTAAATGAGCAGAATGTGAGTTATTAAAATATAAATAACAAAGAGGACAGTAAAACTTTGTTGCTCAGTATAAAACAGCTGTAATAATTACAGTAACTAATATCTAATGACCATGTAGCATAGTGATTACAAGGCATTATTGTGTCATGTAAATCATACACCAAGATCTTTGTGATTAGCGTACTAAATTCTGCTCAGTCATGTGTGCACTGGTAGCCCGCTTAAAACCATTAAAGGTAATTTAGGTTGGCTTAGTCTGGCTTTTTGCTTCAGGGAATACAGAGAGTTAAACAGTAGGTGAACTTGTTTCATTTGATTCTAGGAGGACAATATAAAGATACTTTTAAAAAAATTAAAACCATCTTTATTTATAAAAGAATTCTGGGAAAAAGTCAAAGCATTTTGTAGATTTTAATCTAATTAATCCTCACAATAACCCGGGAGGGAGTTCTTATACAATGGCCTTCATTGTTTAAAGCCACCAGTTGTCAGAGGCCACAAAAGAGTCACTTTGTCTGCAGTTGCTTCTCTGTCCCAGCTTAATTCATAAACGTTATAATGTTCTTTGAAATAAGTCTAGTATAAACACAAACTGACTACTAGTGTATCAATAATCTCTAATCATTATGAGACACATTGACCTCACCAATAAGAATTTCTTACAAATGACTTTACACACCAGCTTAAAGAAATAGAAATGTTTGTTAGAGGGGAATTTAAAGTCATGGATGAGCTCTCTATAAGCAGAATATTTTCATCTATTAATCCACGTGTATTTACAGGGTTCCTGCTCTGAGCACGATGTTAGGTGCTATGGACACAAACAGAGCCTATGAGAGAAATAAAGGAATTTTAACAGTGAAACGTATGTGGTGGTGACCTAGAGGTCTAAGTGAGCCAAAACATGTTATTAATAAACCAAGGATGGAGTGTAGCAGTCCTTAGAAGGGACAGGCACAAGTGGAAGATATTTCATGACCAGCATTTGTCTGTACCCTTGCTTTGCAATTTGGTTCAGATGGCATGGTCTTTAATAGTTCCCACTAGTGAAGTAGGTAAGGGGACGCTTTCACATACAGAATCTCATTGCATTCTTACAGTGTCCCTATGCAATAGGTAGGACAACTATTATTTTCCACTGTTAACACACAAGAAAATAAGCTCAGCAATAGTACACTGCTAGAGATCATAGTGAATGGATGGCAAAATTAGAAGCTGAACCAGGTTCTACAAGTTCCACCCTCACCTTCAAGCTCCCTCAGCCCAGCCACCACCTCCAGATTCCAAGACTGGCGTGCGTAGTTCTCAAATTACCGTCCCAGCTGGGACCTCGTTATTCCCTCTCATTTCAGCCAGACGTGGTTAGAGAAATCCATAGGAATGTTTAATTTAAGCAATAAGCAAAGACAAAAACAAAGATATGAAAACAATGAACTTGACTAAGCGTAGGTTTTGGCTCACAGGTTGGTGACAGGGTAGATGGTCTCAAGGGCCAGAGATCTTCTCATTTATCTCCTCCCCGTCCAAGAAGGCAACTGCCTGTCCTCAGGCAATCTATTTCTGGTATTTCTTCTTCTTCCTTGGAGGAGGGGTTAAACTGAATCTCCAGCCTTTCTGTTACTAGAGTAACCCACAGAAAGAAGAAATGATTACGTTCACCGTTCACCGTAGTGGTGTATCACATCACTAACCCTTGTTCATGCCCACCCAACAGCTTTCATCCTCCTGAAAAAGATAAGGGAACACATTCCAAAAACATCCTATGGGAACCTCCTATCGCCACATACTCCAATGGAGAAAGGAGTTCTCATGATGGGGAATATGCAGCATTTGAACCTGTCAACTAGGTAGATGAAGCACCTTTTCCACATTTCAGTTTTAAAAAAACTTTTCCACTTTTTTCCCCTCCATTCCCAAGAGGGGTTTCACCGGACGATGCAGAGGTCTCCAGGTGCTGGCAAATCTTTCATATATGAAACAGGGATCTCTCCTAACATACCGCAAGAAGTCTAGATGCTTTTTTGCAGATCATTCCATTTTTATGCAGAAAGAAACCGAGAGGGACCGTGTAGAGTGATGGTTAAGAGCTTGAGCTCTGAAACCAAACTGATCGGGAACTGAGTTCCTGCTCTGTTTGCTAGCTTTACGACTGTGGCCAAGTTACTTAATCTCCCTGAGGTTCCATGTCTCCACCTACTTAAAAGAATAGTAATAGCTGGCATTGATTGAGCACTTACTATGTGCTAGGAACTAGGTATGCTAAGTTTTACATGCTTTACATCCATTAACCCTCATCACGGCCCTGTGAAGCAGGTACCCTTATCATCCCCACTTCATAGGTAAGAAAATTGAAGCACGAAGAGGTTAAATAGTTTGCCAGAAATTATAGGACCTTAAGATGTAAAGCCAGGATTCTGACACAAGCAGTCTGACTCCAAGACCCATGCTTTGAATCAATACCTTCTTCATAGTGATGTTGTAAGGATTAAATGTGCTCAGGTAAATCAGGTCCCCTGCATAGTGCCTGGCACATAAACAAGCCTTAAGTAAACGTTAGCTGTAGTATTATTTTCAGCATTGTCATTTGTTCTAAGAGATATCTAGGCCAGAAAACAGGTTTTGACATAGGGTATTTTGCATCTATTCCAGTTAACTGCCCCAAGATATGTGTCCTGCAGTTAAAATGACAGGCCTCTGCTGTTAACTAAACAATCTGTGTATTATGGGTTACCTGGTTAAGAGATAGCCTAAATCGTTGACAACTTTTTCCATTTGCCCATGCGGAAAAGCTCTTCATACTAAAAAGAAGTATTAAGTCTCTTATAAAAGAATGGCATACTGAACAAGAGCTAGCAGAATTGCAGGCAGTACTCAGCTTATAAATGGGTTGTTTCAAAAGTTGGTTTATCTACTGTTATAAACTCTGAATACATAGACATAAGTTTGAAAATGGTGGTTACATTCCAAGACTATTCACAGAAGTCTATTTATTTAGCCCATTTTAAAGTTCAATGATAGAAACCATGCCACTAGCCCAAGGCAGGCCTAGGAACAAGAGCCCACGTGTGATAAAAGACTAAGATAGGTATCTTTCCTGGTACAGAGGAAAGTTGATAATAGACTATATTAGTCATCTATTGTTGTGTAACGAACTACTCCAAAACTTACCATATTAAAACAATAAACATTTATCATCTCATAGTCTCTGTGGGTCATCTGAGAGTGGCTTATCTGGGTGATTCTGCTCAGGATCTCTCATGAGGTTTCAGTCAGCATCACCCAAGCTACAGTCACCTGAAGGCTTTACTGGGGCTGCAGGATCCACTTCCAATATGGCTCACTCATATGGCTGTTGGCAGGAGGCCTCAGTTCCTCATCATGTGAGCCTTTCCACAGGGCTGCTTGAGTTCCTCATGACATGATAGCTCTGGCTTCCCTAGGTACAAGTGATCCAAGAGTGAGAACAAGAAGGTAGCTGCAATGCCTTTTATGACCTAGTCTTATAAGCCACACACTGTCACTTCACCCATATTCTGTTCATAATGAGCCACAAGTTATACATTAAGAGCAGCCCACACTCAGTGGGAAGGGGAATTAAGCTCTACCTATTGATGGGAAGCATGTCACAGAATTTGTGGACATACCTCAAAATACCCTATAGTTTTTGTTGTCCTCCCATTACTCTCTCTAGGTACTCAGTACACAAAATAGTAAAAATAAACTGGGGTGCAGAGCTTCAGCCCTTCCCAACAAAGTTTACTGTAAATACCCCCCAAATTCCTTGCTCTTGCCTCATCTTGCTTTAAAAACATCTATTCCCATTCCTTAAATGGAATCTCATTTGCAAAATGTATACTAAAGAGTGATCACATTCGTGAAATACTTGCTCTATTCATTTGTATCTCTCATTAGTAGAATGTCAGGCAATATAACAAACTAAAAGTAAAAACAACAAATAAACTACTCCCAATCTGGGTGGATTAAGATATTTGGAATTAAGAAAGCAACCTTCAGGAAACTTTCTCCCTTCTGTTGATAATGACCTGGGTCCCCTGGTTATTGAGTATTCTGGGTCTAGGGAACTAGGGGATCTCTGACCCCCAGTTCCCTAGACCTGACCCCCATGACTGCAGCTCTGCAGGAATATTGTGGGCATTCAAAAGTGATGGACTGCCCTGGATTCCAAAAACAGTTGCTGCTCTTGCACCAGAGACATGCAAGATTCTAAAGTATCATCGGGATCTTCAGAGGAAAATGATGTTTCATATGACTCTCTATTGTATTTTTTGTAACTTGAAGTTTGGTAATTCATGTGGACTGTTGTCAAAATACATTTATAAACATTGGATAAATGGGAGTTTGCACTGTAATTCAACTCCAAGTAGAAGCTAGAGGCTTGATCTATGAGTTCTTCTAACAGTGTTGTTGTTTTAAATCTTGAGTGCCCATTTGAGAATATGATGAAAGCTAAGGGACTTACTCAAGAAAATACATATACCCACAAAATTTTGCACATAATTTTAAGGCCTCCGAATCCCCTAAGACCCATCCAGGGAATCGCTGGAGAAGCGGGAGGCGGGGCTTATTGTCACTTCATTTTGTCCTTAAAATGTAAATCTAAATTAGAAGCTACTACTAAAAACTTAATTCTTTTAAAATCTTGTTGTTAAACAAAACCAACGGCCAGTACAGATACCTCTACTAGATCTTCTGTGCTGGGGTTTAGTCCATACTGTAAGTACCTTGGAGGCAAAAGGAACCTGGCGGTGAGCACACAGAGGACAACACACATTTGCTGAAAAAAACAGTAAATATAACGCAAGACACAGAACTGCTGACAACCACAAGCCTTGCCCTCTCCAAGCTGACCTCACTGTGCAGCAGATTCTGCCAATTTGCCAGAGAGGCAGCAATTCGAGGAGACAAAAGCGGCTCAGCAACCCACTTAAAAGCAAACGCTAAATTCGTTTTCTGTCGAGCATCAGAAACCCAAATCCCAGCCCAGGATTCTCTAGGCCCTCCTTCGGTGGAGCGAACTCCCGGCAGCAACGCCCAGCCCCGGGTGGGCGGGACCGCTCGAATCTACCCACTTAACCCGCGGACTCCAGCTCCATCCGCTCATACCTCTCAGCCTCGGGAAGTGGAAGAGCCGCGCGGGAGACTGGGGCTTCGCCTGTGAGTGTCCCCGGGCAGAGGCGGGCCCGCGGGATCCGCATCCAGGAGCGGGACGAGGGGCGCCCCTGTCCCTTCCTTCGCGGGCGCCCCTGCTCAGCGCGCAGGGCCTGCGTGTCCTCGTGCCGACTCCTCCCTCGCGCGCCTCGCCCGCGGCTGCTCCGGCGCACGCGCGCGGCCTCGCGCAGGGCGGGGAGGGGCGGCGGCCGCGGGCGTCCGACCTCGAACCTGTCAGACCAGACCCGGGGAGCCGGCCTGGAGTTGTGGGCGCCGCAGGCGCGAGGACGGCCCCGCTGCCCCGCAGCTCCGGGTTGAGCTGTGCGTGCCTGCCCCGCCGAGCCGACCGGGGGCGGGGAGATGAGCGGCGGCACCGCGGCGGCTCCCCAGGTAGAGCGCTCCCCCCTTTCGGAGCCCCGGCTCCCCCGCCGCTCCGGGCTTCGGAACTTGTGGGCTTTGTTGGGGCGCTTTTAATTTATAATGAGTTTCGTTTTCTACAGTATGGGGAGGGACGCGCGGCAGTGCCATCGGGAACTGGCACTCGGATGAAGTAGGAGCCGCCGGCTGTCCGCCTGCAGCGAGCCGTTCGGCGCCGCGGCCGCACAGCCTCTGCCATGGCCGGATCCGGCGTGTGGAAGCGCCTCAAATCTCTGCTGAGGAAGGATGATGCGCCGCTGTTTTTAAATGACACCAGCGCCTTTGACTTCTCGGACGAGGTGGGGGATGAGGGGCTTCCTCGGTTTAACAAACTTCGAGTTGTGGTGGCCGACGATGGTTCTGAAACCCCGGAAAGGCCTGTTAACGGGGCGCACCCGGCCCTCCAGGCCGACGATGATTCCTTGCTGGACCAGGACTTACCTTTGACCAACAGTCAGCTGAGTTTGAAGGTGGACCCCTGTGACAACTGCAGCAAACAGAGAGAGTTGCTGACGCAGAGAAAGGTGAAAACCAGATTGACCATTGCTGCCGTTCTTTACTTGCTTTTCATGATTGGAGAACTTGTAGGTGAGTTGTGTTGCCAACTCACTTTCCATTTACCTTGCCTTGGAGAGTCTTTGTCAAGCTGTAGTTACACATAACTTGGCGTTTAAACTTTCTTTTTAGGAAGCTTGTTATTTATCAATATACTGATGTGAAAAGGCCTCACGGTTCCAAAGTGCAGATCAACCTAGGTACAACAAACTTCCAAAGATGACTCTGACCTTTTCTTCTGATTCTCCAAACACTGTGTCATCTACTGTAAAGTTAAGGACATTATCTTCATTATATATCATGTAACTTCCTCTTTAAAAAAAAAACCTGATAAAACACAGGTTAATTTTTGCAACATTTAAAATAGTAAATGATTCTGCAATTATTTAGAATCATAAAATTTTACAGTATGAAGGGACCTTACTGAACACCTGCTCCACCTTTTTCTTTTTTAAGCGATCGGAGGACGCAGAGGTTAAATATTAATAAATTATGAGGACACTTAATTGGGTAATTGAAAAGCTACATCTACAGTCCCGTTGTCTTGATTTTTTTTCCTCTACATTTGAATTAAGTGGTCTCTTACTATTTCCTTTTGTATTTATATTCAAGAAATTTGCAAAGCTAAATAATGCTAACTGACCTCACCGTTTTTCATTATAAGGAGGATCTGAAGGCCAGAAGGCTCCCCTGGGTTTTATAGAACTTGGTTTTATTTTTCATTTTTAATTATTCAAGTAATGCAATCTTACTATAAAATACATGCTCAGTTTAGATATTAATTTCAGAGTCACATTAGTGTAACTGCTAACTTCTTTTAGTGACGATAAAGTGACATTAAAGCAGGGAGATTATTCTCCTGTGTTCTTTTTTTTTTTTTCTTTTGGCCACACTGTGTGGCTTCTGGGATCCTAGTTCCCGGATCAGGGACTGAACCCGGCCCCTCAGCAGTGAAAATGCAGAGCCCTAACCACTGAACCGCCAGGGAATTCCCTCCTGTGTTCTCTTAATGATGAACCATGACAAGAACAAAGGTGGCAGTCCAGATTTAAGATGCTGGCTGGAGGTTATGTGCAGGAAAATTATATACATTTCCTACCTCTTTTCATACCACTTCTCGCCAGTGCTCACTTCAGCCATGCTGGCCTTCTTTCTCCCTATGACTCACAAAGCTGTTTTCCTGCCCATAAGACCTTCAGACTGAGTGGTCTCTCTCCCTCTGGCTTTCAAACTTTTTTGAGTTCACTATAGTAAGAAATACACTTAACATTGTGACCCGTGTAAGCATGCATGCATATGTATGTATGTATGTACACACACATATACATTTGTATAAATATATGAATAACTAAAACAAAAATTTTACTTCATGTGCTGTGTTCTACCGTTTTTTCAATTGGGTCAAGGCCTGCATTTTGAAAAGCACTGCTTTATATGGACTGCCTTTTCCCAAATCTTCTCTTGGCTGCCTTCTTGTCATTCATGTCTCATCACAAAAGATACCTCTTAGAGACCTTTCCAACTGCCTAAAGTCAACCTCTCTTCTCCCCTGTTCCTTCCCCAGCTTTAAAAGCCCTCAGCACCTGAGATTATCTTGTTTGTATATTCACTTGTTTAATATCAGTGTCCACTGAAATATAAGCTGAATTACCAGCACCTAGCACAATGACTAGCACAGAGTAAACACTCAATAAAATTTTGTTTAATTAGTTAATGATTGCTGTTAGAGAATTATAAATGTTTAAGCTATGAAGAAATTAAAGACATAAGTGAAACAGATCAGATAAGGCATGGTCAGCAGATTAAGAGTCAATGACTTGGGGCTTTCTGGTGGCTCAGTGGTTGGGAATCCACCTGACAATGCAGGGAACATGGGTTCAAGCCCTGGTCCGGGAAGATCCCACATGCTGCGGAGCAGCTAAGCCCGTGCGCCACGACTACTGAGCCTGCGCTCTAGAGCCCGTGAGCCACAACTACTGAAGCCCGTGCGCCTAGGGCCTGTGCTCCGCAACAAGAGAAGCCACCGCAATGAGAAGCCCGCTCGCCACAACTAGAGAAAGCCCGCGTGCAGCAACGAAGACCCAATGCAGCCAAAAATAAATAAATAAATCTATTTTTTAAAAAAAAGAGTCAATGACTTGCCCAAATTCCCAGTTAGAATATTGAGTCATTCAGACTTAGTGATTCTTGAAGTTAATATTTGAAGTTAAAATCACATTAATCACAATTTCCCCCTTAAAATTAGAGTTTATACCTATAAAAATTACTAAGATATAATTGTCCTGACTTAGCATTATTTAAATCTCTTACTTGGTAAATGACTTGTGAAAGCTACAATAAGTATTTCCTTTCAAATACTAACTTTATTTTCAAATATGAAAATCTTTTGTTAAACACTGTAGAGATGCTAGTACTTAGAATAGACATTAACAATATTACTAGGAATGTTACATAGAATTAAATTGTATACAGTAGAGCATTTATTGAAGTGTGTCGAAAGCACTTAGAAATAAAGCATCTTATGTAGGAAGTATGGAGTAATTTTTAAAATGAAGTATTTTAAAGATCTGAAAGGGGAAACTTGATTTTGAATCTTGGATTTGCTCTGAGACCTTAGGCAAGGTCAATTCTTTCCATTCAGCAAGTATTTTTTAAGTACTTGCTATATACAATGGAGAACAAAACTTATGCTCCCTACTATCTAAAACACTTAATCTAATGTTTGGAGGACATTATATCTTCCTGTAGTGGAGGACACAGGTATTAATAAACACAAATAAATTTAAAATTCAAATGGCCTTAAGTACTGTGAAGAAAAAGAACAAGATACTATAAGACATAGTTTAGACATGTCCAGCAGGACATGGTATATGTATGAGCCACATACAGTTAAACCAAAAAAAAGAATATTAGGAGTTATTTGAGCAAAGGGAATGGAGGAAGATTTTTTCGACCAAAGAAATCAGCAAGTTCAAAACTCCTAAAACCTTCAATTCTTTAAGAGGATCTAAAAAGAAGACCAGTTCGGCCAGAATGTAGTAAGACAGGGGGACCAGACCAGAGAGGTCATGAGAGACCATATTAAATGAGGTTAGTCTTTAATTCTAAGTACAATGGGGAGTCAGTGACTGCTTTGGAGTGGAGATTGACATGATGGGATTTATCTTTTTAAAAGATTACTCTGACTCATATGGAGAGTAGATTGGAGGGTACAAGAGTGGAAGCAAGTATACTTTTGCAGAGGTCCAGACAAGAAATGATTATGGCTTGAACTAGAGTGGATGGAGAAAAATGTACTGATTGAGAAACATTCTAGAGGTAACAATGGCAAAATGGCTAATGGTTTGAATGTGAGAGTTGATGGGAGAGCAGTATCAGGAATGATTCTGAAATTTCTTACCTAAGCAGCTGAGCATATGGGAATGTATGTCAGTTATGAACCAGGGAGAAAATAAAGAGCAGGATTTAAGCATGGGCTCAAGGGTTGTTTTAGGCATGTTAAGTATCATATATATGTGAAATAGACAAGTAAAGACGTCTAGTTATCTGTTATATATAAGTCTGTCATTCACAAGGGAGGTCAAGGTAGAGAGAGAAACAGTATGTAATGCCATAGCAATAGAAAAAATTATCTAGAGAGCCCCAGTTTTGAGGAACTACAACTTTAGAAGTCAGGCAGAAGGCAAATGGGTATCCCAGAACTGAAGAAAAGAGTATTTCAAAATGGAATAAGCTGCTGAGAGGCCTGATAAGATGAGAACTAAAATATCCTTTGGATTTAGTAACAGTTATTGATTGTTTTAACAGCTGCATTTTATTGGGAATGAAAAAACTTAAAGAATGAATGCAAAGAATGAATGCAAATAGACTTCCAGGTAAAGATGGCAAATGAACTCATGCATCTAGTTGTACTCTCTTAAACTACAATAAAAGGATTTAAAATACACACACACACACACACACACATATATACACATAAGCACACATATATACATATACATGTAAATATATATCAACATATATATATGGAATATATATCTCCACACAGGTGGGGAAAACTGGAGAGGAGACTCTAGCAACACAAACTAGAAAGGAATCAGGTAAAAGAGGTAACTGACTTGACCCAAGAAAGCCAACTCCTAAACAAGCAGTGGGGAAAGCCAAGAACCAATCTAGTTTACACTAATGCATCAGAAACACCTAGACAACTTATTAAAAAAACAAATTGCTGGACCAGAGTTTCTAATTAAGTAGGTCTGGGGTAGGGTAGGGCCTGAGGATTTTCTAACAAGTTCCCAGGAGATGCTGATACTGCTGACCCTGAGGACTACACTTGAGAACTACACTAGAGAATCCTAAGCAGGCCCAGAATTGGTTGTACCAGGTACCCCTATAAGTGTGGTTAAAGAGGAAGGCTAAAATAAGGAAAGTTCATTAAAACCTGTTTAAGAGCCAGTCAGATATAATAGTATAATAATACAATAAGTATCCACAGAGATAAAATAAGATCATGAATCCATGAAACTAGAATAGGCTACTTTTTAAAAGAAATTCAGAGTAGAAAATAGAGCTTTTGAATAATACAAACTTTTTTTTTTTTTTTTTTTTTTTTGCGGTACGCGGTCCTCTCACTGTTGTGGCCTCTCCCGTTGCGGAGCACAGGCTCCGGATGCACAGGCTCAGCGGCCGTGGCTCACGGGCCCAGCCACTCTGCAGCATGTGGGATCTTCCCGGACCGGGGCACGAACCCGTGTCCCCTGCATCGGCAGGCGGACTCTCAACCACTGGGCCACCAGGGAAGCCCTAATACAAACATTTAAAAAAATTTTTAACTCCAGACAAATTAGAAGGTGAATTAAGGTCACCTCTCACAGAATATAGCAAAAAGAGAAGATAATGGGAGAAAAAAGGCAAGAAAATTAGTATATTAGTTCAAATTCCAAATAATAGGAGTCTGGGGAATAGAGAAAGCAGAAGGAAAGAAGTTATCAACAACACAGTTTAAGAAATTTCCCCAGGGACTTCCCTGGTGGCACAGTGGTTAAGACTCCACGCTCCCAATGCAGGGCCCCAGGTTTGATCCCTGGTCAGGGAACTAGATCCCACATGCATGTTGCAACTAAGAGTTCGCATGCCACAACTAAGAAGCCCACATGCCGCAACTAAGAAGCCCACATGCCGCAACTAAGGAGTCCACCTGCCGCAACTAAGACCTAGCGCAACCAAGTATTTTTTTTAAAAAAAAGAAAATCCCTTACTTTAAAAAAAAAAAAAAAAAGGAGAATCCTTTCCAAATAAAAAGAAAAAGAAATTTCCCCAGAACTGAAGGGTATACAATTCCAGATAGAGTCAGTAGGGCTTCCCTGGTGGCGCAGTGGTTAAGAATCCACCTGCCAATGCCAGGGACACAGGTTTGAGCCCTGGTCTGGGAAGATCCCACATGCCACAGAGCAACAAAACCCGTGCACCACAACTGTTGAGCCTGTGCTCTAGAGCCCACAAGCCACAACTACTGAGCCTGTTCACCACAACTGAAGCCTGCACACCTAGAGCCTGTGCTCTGCATCAAGAGAAGCCACCTCAATGAGAAGCCTGTGCACTACAACGAAGCGTAGCCCCCACTCTGCATCTAGAGAAAGCCCACGTGCAGCAACGCAGACCCAATGCGGCCAAAAAATAAATAAATTTTTAAAAAAGAGTCAATAAAAGCCCAAATTGGATGAAAATAATCCCACACCAGGTACATCATTGTAAAATTTCAGAACACATGATACACACTTATTATTGCTTCAGGCAGCTGCTGTGTTAAACAATTGCCTCTGATTGTTTTTGACAAACACTGACCGAGGTTTGCACCAGGGCCAAGCTCCAAGTCAAGTCAAATAAAAAGAGCCTTGCAAGTATAGTCTCCCAGGGAACCACCAGACAGGTCAAATAATGACAATTTCCTGGCAATGGAGCTTTTTTTTTTTTGGCTGTATGCGGGCCTCTCACTGTTGTGGCCTCTCCCGTTGCGGAGCACAGGCTCTGGACGTGCAGGCTCAGTGGCCACGGCTCACGGGCCCAGCCGCTCCGCGGCATGTGGGATCTTCCCAGACCAGGGCACGAACCCATGTCCCCTGCATCGGCAGGCAGACTCTCAACCACTGCACCACCAGGGAAGCCTGCAATGGAGCTTTTAAGGAGCTCTAACGCCATCCTATTCCTTGCAGTGGCTGCCAGGCTGAGGTTTTCACTGTGGTTGCTGCTTGTTAGTTTTCAAGGCTACCATAGAACTGAAGAGGGGGAGATTGGGTATAAGGCAAGTTAAAGTGCCACAGAGCTAGTGAGCTTCTTACCAAGATTCAGCCTTTTTCCTTGAATAAATGCTACCTGTATCAGCCTTTGTTTAATTTCCATAGTTTTCAGAATGCTGATCTGGACAATTTTTGCCCATGTTCTTATGGCTTTTATGGAGGAGATGATTTTCATAGGTCCTTACTCTGCTGTTTTTGCTGGTGATCATCACATGTGGCTCTTTAGGTTAAAAAAAATTAAATAAATTCAATTCCTTAGTTGCACTAGCCGTATTTCAAATTCTCAAAAGCCACCTGTGACTAGTTGCTGTTCTATTGGCCAGCGCAGATAGAACATTTCCATCATCTCAGTTTTATTGCACAGTGTGGCTTTAGGGTATTATCCTTATTTTATAGATGAGTAAACTGAACCTCAAAAATGGTAAGTAACTTGCTCAGTCTCTGAGATTTCAAAGCCCCATGTTATTAACTGCCAAGCTGTATTTTCTGTCAGTGATTCCAGCTTTTTCATGTAAGGGAATACATAAAAAATGATATTTCTATAGAGCACACTGGCTGGAGTAAATGGATGTGACTACAGGATCACCAGCCCCAGTTCTCCTGCTGCTCTTGACTCTGCATACACATCCCAGGAATAGGGGAATCAACATCTCAGCACACTTATGTGTCACAACATCCTGATCATGAAGTTCTGCTATACATTATAACAGTATTTCTCAGTGTGGTTACAAGACCAGAAGCATCAACATCACCTGGGAACATGTTAGAAATGTAAATTCTCAGGCCCCATCTAGACCTACTGAATTAGAAATTCTGGGAGTGGGGTCAAGAAGTCTATAGTTTAACAAAACTTCCAGGTGATTCTGATATACATAAAAGTTTGAATACCCTGTATTATATTATAAAAACTTATTCTATGGTGCTAGGAAAATCGGTTGGCCATAATGGTCATAAATAAGTATATATATGTATATATGTACACATTATATATATATTATTATGTATATATATATATACACATATATACATACATATATAAAATACATATACACACCCACATATATGAAATATACACATTATTATTATGTATAATAATACATAATACTGGAAAACTAATATAAAAATTGTATTCTAAATACCATCTTTTATCCCTCTATTAGGAGACATTGCTGTTTATACCTAAGAGAATCAGTTAATTTTTATCTTTTGTTTTGAACTAATGAACATTTTGTGAATTTCTTCAGTTTATGTTCAAACCCTCCCAAACAAGTGAATACCTACCTTTTATTCAGCTTTATTGTAATATTTAGATATGGTGGTTATTAATTTCACTGTCTAATAGTAGAATTAGTAGGTTGAGTAAAAACTGTATTGCTAAAACACAAAACTTCTCTTTGTGTCAGCCCCCATTTAATGGCTCTTAAATTTTTTAAGGTCATTTACTCCTCAGAGAATCTGTTCCTGGAAATGGACATCTTCACCATTAGAAAAATATGCATAGTTAATGTTTTGCATAAAATTTCAGGATACCTTGACTTAATTGCAATAGGATAAGTATTTAGTTAACTTTAGTTAGAAGTTCATGTTTTGTAGGATGCTGCATATTTTTGGTTTGATTGCTTATGTTTATTATTTTAATTAACTTATTCCTTCTTTCCTGTCACCCTTACTCTAAGGTGGATACATTGCAAATAGCCTAGCAATCATGACAGATGCACTTCATATGTTAACTGACCTAAGTGCCATCATACTGACCCTGCTTGCTTTGTGGCTATCTTCAAAATCACCAACCAAAAGATTCACCTTTGGATTTCATCGCTTAGGTAGGTAATTGGGTGTTTCTTTGGTTTATAAAATTTTATAGTAAAACCACAATGAACTATAACCTTTGATTAACTGAAATCTTTCTGATGATAGTCTGTTTGAACAAAGCAAATGAAAATAGACAAATAAGATTCATTCAGATATATATCTTCCAGGGTACATTCAGTTCAGTCAGCTAAATAGTTTACACATATAAAATTATATGGTAATCAGGGACTTTCCTGGCAATCCAGCAGTTAAGACTCCACACTTCCATTGCAGGAGTCATGGGTTTGATCCCTGGTTGGGGAACTAAGACCTCACATCCCACATGCCACATAGCGTGGCCAAAAAAATAAAATTATATGGTAATCATTAATCTTCAAATGTTGTTCCTTGTGTCCTGAAGGTGTTAACAGAAAAAAAGTTTACCTTCAGTTTATCGAGCCAAGCAAAACCACATGGATCTAATTCATCAATGAGCATTAGCTTTTCTTTCTCTTAAGGTATTCCAACCAAAGCGACTTATAGCCCAGGTTTTAGGCACTACTATAATATGTATAACATACTGTATGGCTGACCTTCATTGTGGCCATTAACTGTAAATGCTAACAAAGATTCTTTGCTTGACCAAACGTTTGTCAGTCTCCTGAGCTGTCTCCCAAGCCCATCTCTGTACTTCCTTGTTAAATCTAGTTTTAGGAAGAACTCTGCCAAACCAATTTAACAGAACCTCCACTCTCAATATTTGATGGGTTATTCCCAGGTGATGTCTCATCACCCTGGCCTGTTTTCAACAAGGCTTCCCTATACCAATCTTGACAGCTTCCCCCCAACTGTATTAAAGTCTTCTTTACCATGTTTTAATAAGTGTCATTGAATTTTTTTTCTTTAACAATGCACACATATTTATATTTTCCTATTTTGAACAAATATTAATATTTAATTAAGAGAGGTTAAAATCATACATTGTTATCCACACAACTCTTCTTGCCATGTTAGTGGTTTTTTTAATTTTTACTTATTGTCAAAATACATATAAAACAATTACCTGAATTAGTATATGAAGCGCCATATGACCAATTTTTTGCTTAGAACCCAAAAATTGATTTAGGCAGCTTCAGCAAAACCTGTCTTAAAGAACCAGAATTAACATCTTGTAGTTTTATTTTGTGTAGACAATGACACTCTTGGCTAATATTTTCATTCAGTTCCTCCCTTTCTTTGTTACTTTTTAGCCTAATCTTAACTCAACATCTAGATCTCCTATAATTTAGTAGCTGGGTCTTCTAGTGTAAAACTTGACATTTTACCTGAATGGCTGTATTCCAAGTAGCTATCCAGGTCGTAAGTTTGGGAACTTATCTGGCATCCCCATTTCTCAGCACCCTCAGCTGCTGTACAAGAGCAGTAAAACCCTGAGTGAGGCCTTTCTGTTATTTGTTAAGCACCTGAATAACACATAATGCATTTGGATGTGTTCCTAAAAAAAACTCCCACTTCTAGCTGACACATTATACATCCATTTGTTTACTGATTGCCTTGGGGTTTTTAAAAAACTTCAAAATTATTCTTAAACTTTAATTTTTTGTGTGATTTAAACACCTGCAATTTAAGATCAAAACTCAAACATAGCATCGTGGAATGGGGATTTTTCCCTTCTAACACTATTTGAGAGAGTGCATTCATTTAGGTTATAGACCCCTTGGAATTCTAATGAAAACAGTGGAATTCTCCCTCAGAAACATGCAATACCAGAACATAGAAAGTTCTACAAATGATAAGAACCCATAATCATGAAAATTCTATTAAATATCAGAGAAGTACTTAGTGTTTATCTAGGTAGTCACAGATAACAAGTACTATGAAAAGATGAAAGAAAATAGAACTGACTGGTCCTATTGTATTTCTGTACATTTCTATAGAAAGTCAAATTTTTCCCTTTCCTTAAAAGTACTACTTCAAGATGGTGGACTAGAGGTCAGCATTTGAGAGTCCATTGAAATAAAAAGTACCAAATCAACACAGAGAAGCAAATGGTTGAGTCACCAATCACCAAGACATTTTCAGAAATTTCTGGAAGTTGGAAAGTAGATGGGAGTGGGTTGAAGAAAGAAACAAGCCAAGAAGCAACAGCCTGGAGAACACTAGGGTAGAACTGGACCAGCCCAACAGAACTCCAAAGAAGACTCAGGGACAGAGATGGCAGAAGTGAGAATTGGGGCTGAAAACAAGACTAACTGAATGACTGCAAATGAGAGACTGCTCCCACTAGTCCACTGTATCCCTACCTTCCTCCCACCGCCACCTCCACTCAGGCGGTCCGCATTTTCCCCCATGTAAACACCACATAGTTCTTCCAGAAGGAAATTGAATCAAATGTTTGGAGAAAGCTGAGGCTTTTAGTGTGAATGTTGATGCTCCAAAATAATTCGTTTTCATACTAGAATTCAGGGTTCTCCAGCCTTATAGTTTGGTTCCCCACATACTCACACTAAAGTAATACACTTGTCTTAGTCTTCCCTGCTCTACACCCCTTATTAGTAACCATTTTAAATAGTTATGGCTTACCCTTCCAGCATTTCCCTTTTGCAAAGGACAGTTTCCCTATCCTATTACCCTAAATGTGAATGGACACCCAAGGATCTTTCAGAAAATGGGAAAAACCAGCAGCATGAAAGAAAGTTAAAAAACAAACAAACAGACAAAAATTTGTTGTACAGGAAAGAGAGGTGACTTAGGAAACAGAAGAAAATGTTTTCAATTATCTTATTAATATACCCAGAATAATAAAACAGTAAAATGTTTTGAAAAAGAAACATACAGAAAAAGCTCTTTGAAATTGAAATATTACTAAAATTTTTTAAAAGTTTTTTTCAATAGAAGGACTAGAAAATATAATCAAGAAAGTCTCGGACTTCCCTGATGGCACAGTGGTTAAGAATTCACCTGCCAGCAGGGGACACGGGTTCGAGCCCTGGTCCAGGAAGATCCCGCGTTCCACGGAGCAACTAAGCCCGTACACCACAACTACTGAGCCTGTGCTCTAGAGCCCGTGAGCCACAACTACTGAACCCATGAGCCACAACTACTGAAGCCCATGCACTTAGAGCCTGTGTTCCATAACAAGAGAAGCCACCGCAATAAGAAGCCCGTGCACCACAATGAAGAGTAGCCCCTGCTCAACGCAATTAGAGAAAGCCCACCCACAGCAACAAAGACCCAACGCAGCCATAAATAAATAAATAAATTTATTTTAAAAAAAAGAAAGTCTCCCAGAAAGACAAATACCATATGATATCACTTATATGTGGAATCTAAAATACGATACAAATCAACATATCCATGAAACAAAAACACACCTACAGATATAGAGAACAGAGTTGTGGTTGCCAAGGGGGAGGAGGGGTAGGGGAGGGATGGAATGGGAGTTTGGGATTAGCAGAGGCAAGCTATTATATATAGGATGGATAAACAAGGTCCTACTCTATACTATGTTCAATATCCTGACAAACCATAATGGAAAAGAATATGAAAAAGAACATATAAATATGTATAACTGAGTCACTTTGCTCTACAGAAGAAATTAACACAACATTGTAAATCAACTATACTTCAATAAATTTTTTTAAATAGTTAAAAAAAAAGGTCTCCCAGAATACAGAACAAAAAAATAAAAACAGGAAGAAAAAGTTTAAAACTATGAAAGAATAATCTGGGAGGTCCAAAGTTGTATTATTAAGAACCTCAGAAAAAGAGACTTACAAAATAAAAGGGAGTGACTGCTTAAGGGGTACAGGGTTTCTTTTTGGGGGTGATGAGCGTCTTCTGGAATTAGATAGTGGTAATTGTTGCACAGCCTGTGCGTATACTAAAAGCCACTGAATTTGTCCACTTCAAAATTGTTAAAGTGGTGAATTTTGTTATTTGAATTTTATCTAAAATTTTTTAAGTCATCTAAAAAATAAAAGGAAGAGAATTGTTAAGATATAGACAGGTATTTTCCAGAGCTAGGGAGGGAATCACATCCTCACACTAGCAGGGCCTTTTTGGGATCTTCTTTTTCTTCTTTGTATTACAAAAGCTTATAAGGATATATCTAGATAAGACTTATTTCACTTATCCTGCTCTTTGAAGTAATGGAAGAAAAACTTATGATGTGGGGAGGATTAAAAAGACAACAAAGATATGTAGAATTGAATAAAGCTATAAACCAAAGCAGTGGCTGTCCTTGTGTGCTGTAAAATTCCACCACCTCACGAGTAATCTCTCTAAGTTCGTAGGGAAAGGTTTGTTTACATTGGACACATTTAGACAGTGTGCCTCTTATGACCTCTACTACCAAGACTTGGGAATTCAGGTCTTAAAGAACACTGCAGAAGGAATCCCCCCTAAGAAACTTCTGGTTTATTACTGTGTTGTTGAATTTGCCTTGTTTTAATGGCATGGGTGGTAGGACAGGAGTTGGTTTTTTCTTTGTTGATTTATTTTGTAAATATGTAAAACATGTCACAAAAGTCAAAAATTATTTTTTAAAAGAAAAGATTTACTCAGAGAAGCCTCGCTTTCATTCTGTCCCCTCCAGCCCATCCTCCTGCCCCACTCCTAATTAGCAATCATTTTAATTAGTTTCTGGCCTGTCCTTCCAGCATTTCCTTTTGAAAGTATAAGAAAATACATATATATGTTCATATCCTGCTGCCTGCCACCCTTTCTTATGCAAAGGCAGCATACTGGAGGTGTGTGTCTGTGAATGAGAGTCAGATAGTTGTAGTACCATACCCTAAATTTTCTTTTTGTTTTCTCATAACACTTTATACATGTCTAATAGCATTTATCACATTTTTATAGATATTTTTATGAAACAATGTCTCCTTCTAGACCATGAATTAAGTAGGGACAGGAACAGAAAATATTAAACTCCATGGGTCTGGCACTAATAAGTGCTGTATAAGATATCATTAATCAAATTGTTGCATATTCAAGCTGAGTAAATATGGTTATGAAAACTGAAACAGAT